TCGGCTACTAATATATCATATGAATCACTTTGATAGCATGCGGTCTAAGCATGTATTCAAATAAGCGTTAAACTAACAATGCAAGTTAGAATGATGAACTGAGCCTCGGTGCATGCAATACAAGTGAATGCAAACATGGAGAATGCTAAACAAAACATGATGTCCCTAAACTAACCATCGTAAGCAATTAAATAAAAGGGAGAAAGATGTGGGGTTGGAAGACATACACGTTATTACATTGCGCTCTCACGAAGGAGAGTCCGAATGAACTAACTAGATAACTAGCTAAGCTAAACTAATTTAATTAATTAGTTATTTCAAAACAAAATGAATAAATAGCTAAACTACTTAACTAATTATTACAACAACAAATGAACTAATTAATTAACTAATGTAGCTAATTGAAATAATTACATCACTTTACAAAATTAACTAGCTACAACTAATTAATTACAACAAATAGCTAAGCTAAGTATTTAAACTAAACAGGCTTGATACGCCAGGAATGCTCATGTACGTGCTCGGTTTCCACCTGAAAAGGCCACTGTTTTGCTTCCAGAAGGTCTCTGTTGCACAGTAGAACACTTACACTTCAGTCTACCCCTAGATTAGCTCTGCTCTGCTCAAAAAACACACTGCTGGATTTTGCATTGGTGGCCGACCGGCCAGTAGTGAAGGCCTGCCAGCCACTGCTGTAGGGTTTATCTTACTGCAACAGAGAACAAACAAAACATGCACAGGGTATTCTCAAGCGTTGTCTGCACAACTCACCCCTCCTTATCATGAACAGATAAAAGGAAAGACAAAACTTGGTCCACAAACTACCAACTCAAGCAATTTCATTACATGATGGCTTATGAACCAAAATGTGCAAGTTCAACAAATGCAACAAAATAAGACTCTAACCTCCTCCCTTTCATGAATTGATCAAGGGAAGTGGTGATCTTGGAAACATGAACCATTTCATCACTAATGAGTATGAAATGTCACAAGCTTCCATGTGTTCAATTAACGTCCGATTGAACACAAAATTAAATTCTTATCTTGCACCATTTTAGTCTCATTTTAATTTCTTCATTTTATATTACCATCCATCCTTTAATAAATTGAGTCCAAAGGTGAGTTTAAAGTCCACTAATGGAAAGAGGGCTCAAACCAAGAGTTGCTTCGGGCATAAAAGTGAGATCATACCGTTCGTAATGAACCCCCAAAGGGATTAAACCATTAAGCATGACATCTCAATCTCATGCTTAAACAAACAAGTAATTTGAAACCACTTTCAAAGAAAAACAAAAGCCAAGAAATGAGGGAGGTTGCAGAGGTGATTAAGACTGATTACAAGTATGGAAAGCCATAAACAAATGCAATCAACTCAAATAAGGTGGTGTCTAAGGCCTAGAATACTAAACTCATGAGGATAATTACACGACAAGAATGCAAAACAAAGCTCCAATGCAACTATCTACCAAAAACCGTGCTAAAATAGTCTAAAAATAGTCCTAAAACATGCTGGAATTGAGACAAAAATAACCAGATTAATAAGCTAAAACATAGTACAAGCTAGGCTAATAAGCAAGACACAAGAAAGGGAGGTTGTCCCCTCCAAATTTGGACTTCAAAGCATGATTTTAGCCACTGAAATAACTCTGAAAATCAGTGTTTAAAAACTCAAAAAAAGATAGTGCAAATGTATGAAACACAAGGGAAAAGGCTTTTAGAACAAGGTGCAAAGAAGGGTGAACCACCCCTCAACCTTTAATGGCCTTAAAACCCAAGTTTCAGCCCAAAAATAGTTAGAAAATAGCAAGGAAAATAGTGAATACAACAAGCAAAGTGGCAAAGCTTTATACCTCTTGAAGAGAAGATTCAATTCCAAGCAATAAAACCAAGCAAACACACCCTCAAGAGCTCAAACAAGGCTCAAAGACACCTCAACTCAAAGATGGAGAGGTTTGGTTAAGAGTGTATAGGAAAAGGTTAAGGATGTGTAGGCAAAAGTGTAAAAATTTAGAAGAGAGAGAGAATTGCAGAGAGAGGAAAAATTTTGCTCCAAAATTTTTCTAACCTTAAAACCAAGAGAGAACGTCGTCTATATATAAAAAGAGATGAGCTTCAGTTGAAAATATCTATATAGAGTTAGGTGGAGCAATGTGGGAACAGCTGGCACAAATATCTTCAAAAAATCTACTTTTTGACACTTGTGGCCGACAGGCCACTACTGGTGGACGACAAGACACAAAAAAGGGGCAAAAGTTTCACTACTGGCCGGCAGGCCACTAGCAAGGGCCAGCAAGCCATTATTTGTGGCCGGTAGGCCACTAAAATTTATTTTTAAGCCCGATTTAAAATGGACATATCTCCTTCATCCGGACTCCGTTTCAGGTCATTTTTTAGTCTAAATTGATGCCCTAAAAGTCTACTTTCCAATGGTGGGGTCTCATCTAAATTCTAAGTGTGTAAAGAGATATATCTATTTTAGTGAAGGCTGCTCAATTTTGTCCTAACAGATTAATGTCTAACTTTTCCCCCAACTAGTTTTCTTCCCTCCCCTCCTATTTTCTTCAACTCCAAACCTCTAAATAAGATGTTTTAAAGATTTTTTTTCAAACAATTCACCTTTCTTCTATTTATTTCCACTTTATCCTTACTCGGTTTACCGAAAAGTGCAATATTTTTAAACGAAATATGGGCCATGGAACATCGTAGAAACATTATCAAAAATATTTTGAAAGATAGGGTTTTAAAGTCTAAAATAGTTTTGGTCCAAAATGGGGTGTAAGATTGAGATTTGGAAGCTCTTCTTGCCAACGTTTTGAAAATCGGACCGGACTGGCCGGTTCGACCGGTTGAACCGTCGATCGGTCAGGGTTCCGGTCCGGACATACCCTCTGAACCGGCAAGAGCTAAAAACCGGCGTATTTAGTGAGAACCGAGTAAACCGGCAGTTGGACCGGCGAACCAGTCGACCCGGAGCCGGTTCACCGAGTTGTATAAGAATATAAGAATATTTTAATTTGAAACTCTTTTTCAAGGGTCTCCTCTTGTGAGGAATCCCATTAAGAGCTTGATGAAATTATTGTGAAAGTCTTCACCTATTTATAAGAAAAAATTTCTTTCAAAAAGACTCAAGAAATTCATGTGGGATTCAATCAAATGTATTGGAGGGAATATTGAAATTTTGATATCCCTCTAAAAATTTTGGTCTCCTTTCAATCAAATTATTTGAATTAAAATCATATGGAAGGAATATAAAATATTTGATTTCATCATCCAAAATTGAAATTAATAATATTTTAAAATATATTACTATATTTTTCAGTAAAAAAAAATATTAGGACAAATATTTAAGATAATTTAATATTTTTAATTTATAATTTTATTACTTATATTTTTATTTAAATATAATTTTAATATATTTATTACGTCACGGTTCGATTCCGGTTCAACCCGACGGTTAAACCGGTGACCCGTCCACCCAATCCCTTTTCCGGTTCGCTCACCGGTCTGGTTTTTAAAACATTGCTTCTTACTGAAGAAATCAAACATTTGCACAACATAACTTTCATCATCGAGTGATCAATCAGTGGCGCCTAAATCTTAAGGGCAGTCGAAAATGGGGTGTCTACACAGGGTTAATTATGTTATAACAATCTATAAGAATGGTAATAACAAAAATGCAATCTTATTCTGTTTTTTTTTTATTTTATTTTTAGGGAGATATTGATTTTTATAACTAAAACTCTTATCCATAATATTAAAGGCGTGTTGCACTTGTCATCACATTAGGTCATAAAATTTATTTAGAAAAATAATAAATTGCTAATATTTGACAAGTGGCTTTTTTGGCTAAAAAATCAAAAAGTTACTAACAAAACCAACAACCTATACCAAAAAGTCAAATATTCCCTTTTCTTTCTACTTTTTGCACATCTTTTCGTAAAAAATAAAAAAATTATTCCAAACATACTAGTTTTTTTACCTCATATGTTAGCTAAAAAGTTAAAAAGTTACTAAAAAAGCTTGTTCTCATAAGGCCTAAATATAATTCAAATTCAATTTTTATATGACGACTTGGCAAGACTCACCACCACCCCACTGTCTCTAGAGATTGAAAGCACGCCCCTCCCCGCCGGGTTCCATCAATCTAAGTTCACGCTATACAATGGCAAGATGGATCCATACATGCACCTTAGTCATTACCAGGAAGTAATGGCAGGCCATCGGTGCAACGATGTCTTGATGTGCCTCATATTCCTTACAAGTTTGGGAGAGTTGGCCTGAAGTGGTTTGAAGGCTCCTGGAGGGGAGTATCGAGGGGTGACATCAGCTAGTAGAAGCCTTTGTCACCAGATTCAAGACCAATACTCGTACATTGAAAGAGGTCGACAACCTCCTGGGTGTCAAGATGGAGTCAGGCAGTTCATTGAAAGCATATAACGCCAAGTATTGGGAGACCTACAACGAGATACTCGATTACCCCCACCAATTTGGCAATCGCCCAATACAAGCAAGGTTTACCAATCGAACATAGATTGCGAGACTCGCTCACGATGCACCAGCCCACTACCATGGAATCATTGATGCAGCGGATCAACAAGCACATCCGAGTTGAGGATGATGTTATCACCGCCACTGCAACCGAGAAGGCAAACCCGATTACAGTGAACAAACGTGTGGCCAGGAAGGTTCACTCAGTGGGGCAGGAGGATAACCGCCCTAATAAAAAAGCAAGACAGAAACACCGCAGAACTGGCCGTAATGACAAAAATAGAGGCCGCGGAAATGACCGAGCTAATGCTCCAACCAATGAGGAGGATGATGCCAAGAGAAAATTGAAGGTGCGGACTGGTATCACAATGATCTTCAAAATCCCAATTTATCGCATCTTCAGCGAGATCAGAGGTGAGCCATATGTCCGATAGACAGCAAAATTAGGGGACGTGCAGAGGGGCTTTAAGTCAAGATACCGTTGCACTTTCCATGAAGAACGAGGGCACCAAATGGAGGATTGCGTACCGTTCAAGCAACACTTAGAGGAGCTGGTCGCAACAAGGCACTTAAACCAGTATATTGATGGTGGTATGAGGGCCGCTCCACAAGGGCAAACCGAGCTAAATGGGCTAGCCATCTTGGATGCAGTGTCTCAGGGAGTTATCAACGTCATTCATGGAATCATTGAGCCAACGCGAGTGTGCGAGCTCAGAGGAATGATTAAGAAGGCTGAGCACATGAGGGAAGTGTTCTCTGTTCACCCCGCCGTAAAAAAGGAGAAGACCGAGGTACAGAACATCATGACCTTTTCAAGCAAAGACTTGGAGAGAATTCAAACCCCTCACAATGACGCGTTGGTAGTAACACTTCGCGTTAAGGATTTTGACATAAAAAGAATTTTGATCGACCAGGGAAGTTCAATCAAGATTATGTACTATGATGTGTTCAAGCAAATAAAGTTTGAGAACAAGGACTTGGCTCCAACGACGTCTCCTTTAGTCGGCTTCAACTCACAACTGAAATGGCCAATCGAGAAGATCATTCCATTGGTCAAGGCTAGCTCAGTCACGAAACAGATAGAATTTTGGGTATTAAAGGCCCTGTCGACCTACAAGCGGTGGCGTCCATCTATCACCAGGTCATGTGCTTCCCCAATCCAATCGAGCAGATAGAAGAAGTTTAGGGGGACCAGGTGATGTCCAAGCAATGTTTTATGACAACCGAGCGGCAAAAGGTTTCGTACGGATAATAGAAGGACCAGAAGGCAAGGAAGTCCTAGAAGACGTAGGAAGAAAAGCTGAAGAAAAGTCAGTTGAAGACTTGGTGGAGGTTCGGGTTGATGAGAATGATTCGAGCAAATTCTTTGTCTTGGGCTCGTCATTGTCCAGCACCGACCGGTTAGACTACGTCAACTTTTTGGTCTTTAATATTGAGGTCTTTGCGTGGACGCCTTACGATATGCCTGGCGTCGACCCAACCTTCATTCATCATCAGTTGAATGCCTTTCCAAACGCTCGGCCAATCATCCAAAGAACTCGGCACTCGACTTTACACCATGCCGAGGTAGTGGCGGAGGAGGTCAAAAACTTGTTGGAGGCTAGAGCAATTGAAGAAGTGCACTACGTCAGATGGATCTCCAATACGGTGGTAGTGCCGAAGAAAAATAGGAAATGGCAAGTATGCGTCAACTATAAGACGGTCAACCGTGTCTGCCCCAAGGATAGCTTTTCCCTCCTACAAATCGAACAGCTGGTGGATCTTACCGCAAGTTACCGAAGGTTCAACTTCCTTAAGGCGTACCGTGGCTACCACCAGATCTCCATATACGAACCAAACCGAGTGATCACATCCTTCACCATGCTGAGGGACTTGTACTGCTATAAGGTCATACCATTTGGCCTTAAGAATGCTGTAGCAACCTTTCAAAGGATAGTGACCAAAATGTTTGCTCATCTTCTTGGCCACACTATGGAGGCCTACATCGACAAAATGGTGTTCAAGAGTAAGGAAGAATCTCAGCACCTTGGCGACCTAGCTAATATGTTCGCCATCCTCAAACGCCACAAGTTGTGGTTGAATGCTTCTAAGTGTGCTTTCGAAGTAGAAACTAGGAAGTTTCTCGATTTTTTGGTCACTAACCAAGGGATTGAGGCTGACCCTTTACAAATCAAGGAAATACAAGAACTGGAACGTCCAAATTCCACGAAGGAAGTGTAACATCTTGCTGGAATGGCAGTCGCGCTGAATAGATTTATCAACCGGTCATCAGATCGTTGTCGGCCCTTCTTCCAGTCCTTGAAGTCAAAGTTCTCCTCGGATAACGAATGCAACAAATCATTAGCTGACTTGAAGGCATACGTCTCATCTGCCCCTATCCTGGTCACCCCACAATCCGATGAGGAGCTCTACCTGTACTTGGCCGTTTCTCAACATGCAGTAAGCGATGTGCTTGTCCGAGTTGAGGGAATTCAATATCCCCTTATCTTCTATGTCAGCAAAACATTGCTCCCAGCCAAGTCAAGATATCTGCTGCTTGAAAAGTTGGCTCTAGCTCTCATGATGACCTTCAAAAAGTTGGCACACTATTTTCACTCCCACACAATAGTGGTGCTGACCGAATTCCCACTCAAGGTGCTCTTTGAGAAGGCAAATTTCACTGGTAGAATTTTGAAGTGGGTAGTAGAGCTGAGACAGTACGATATCAAATTTCAACCACGAACAGCCATCAAGGCACAAGCCCTGGCTGACTTTGTGGCAAAATTTTCCACTAGCACTCACCTCATTTGTCCTATTAAATTGGCACGTGAATCCGAGCAGAAGGAAATGGCTGGTGCGAATTTAGCACAGCTTATGGTTTTAATGCCACCAAAAAGGGGTGAGGTACAAGATATAGAACGGCAAGACAGTCCTGAACGAGTGGAAAAGGATCTGACTAACCCACCAGTTGACAAGTTGAGCGACCATGCAGGAAAGCTACATGCAGAGCCGACCTGCACCTTGGACTTAAGAAATTCTCAGAACCCATTTGATTGCTGGAAACTGTTCATTGGCAAAATGTGGAAACTCTTTGTTAATGGTGCCTCAAATAAACATGGCGCTGGGCTAGGGGTTGTATTAACTTCGCCGGATGGGCTAACCATTGAGAATGCCATCACACTTGGGTCCCCAGCATCCAACAATGAGGCAGGGTATGAGGCCCTCCTCGCCAGCCTAAAGAGTGCTTTACGGATGAAGGCACCTGAGCTTATGGTATTCAGCAACTCCAAACTAGTAATCAACCGGGTCTCCGGAGAATACGAAGCCAAAGATGAAAGGATGGCCAAGTATCAAGCATTGGTACGCGCTGAAATCTAAAAGTTCGGTGTGATATAAATGGAGCAAATCAATCGCGAAGAGAATAGCCAAGCGGATGAACTGGGCTGCCTGGCATCCATGCAAACCTCTTTTCCCAACCCTTTGATGATCGATTTCTTGCCCAAACCCAACATCGAAGAACCGGAGGCACCCGAAGTACTTTGCACTGACTTGGGGCCATCATGGATGGATCCTATTGTTGCCTTCCTTAGAGATCGAGTCATACCCACTGTTAAGAAGGAAACCAACAAAATTAGGGCCTAGTCAGAGTGGCTTTGTCTCTCTCCATCCAGCGCCCTGTACAAAAAGTCCTTTACAGGGCTGTATTTGAAATGCATCCACCCCAGCAAGGTTGAAGCTTTCCTCTTTGAGATTCATGAGGGCATATGTGGTAGCCACAATAAGGGCAGATCCCTGGCATACAGAGCAATTTCTCAGGGCTATTGGTGGCCATGCATACAGGCTGACGAGCAGAAATATGTCTGCAAATATAGGAAGTGTCAAAAATTTGCTCACCAGATCCACCAACAGGCCAGAGAATTGCTCCCCTTGACGAGTCTGTGGCCATTTTCCCTTCGGGGGCTAGACATTGTGGGACTGCTCCCAACTGTTCTAGGAAACCATAAATTTTTCATTGCTGTTACTGATTACTTCACTAAATAAATGAAAGCCGAGCCGTTGGCCACCATCAAAGAGAAAAATGTAAAAAAGTTCATCTGGTAGAATGTCATCACTCGGTTTGGCATCCCAAAGGCCCTTATCTCAAATAACGGCACGCAGTTTGATGGCAAACTCTTTCGTAGATTTTGCGAAGAGTTGAAGATTGAGTTCTACAATTCCACACCAGCTTACCCTTAGTCAAATGGTCAAGCTGAAGGCTCAAACAAAACTATCTTGGACAGGCTGAAGAAACGACTAAAGAAGGCCAAAGAGAGGTGGGCTGAAGAACTCCCCAATGTGCTTTGGGCATACCAAACTACCCCGAGGCATTCAACTAGAGAGACTCCATTCGCCCTGGCTTATGGCATGGAGGCAGTCATATCCCTGGAGATCGACATGCCAACCATCCGATCTGAAAACTTTAAGCCTAACTTGAACGATGAAGCTATTGCCCTAGAGTTAGACTTGGCTGAAGAAAGAAGGGAAAGGGCACTAATCCACATCGCAGCCTACCAACAAGAGCTCTCCAATAAATACAATAAGACCGTGCATCCATGTTTGTTCAAAGTTAGGGACTGGGTTCTGAGAAAAGTGATAGACAACACACTGATCCCTGGGGAAGGCAAATTGGTGCAAATTGGAAAGGGCCATACAAGATAACGGCCTTGCCGGAAAAGAGGCACACCTTTTGGAAGACTTGGACAACAAAGCTATCCCAAGGCCATGGAATGCGGCCAACCTCAAGCTATTCTACTTTTGAAATGTAATCTTTCTTCCTTTATTCATACTTGGCCTTTCAGCATTATATGTAATGTTTGATGAGCAATGGACAAAAGCCATTTATATCTTTTGTATTATGTGCTTACACTTCCCTCTTTCTATATTAAAATGATACGTTACTGAGTACTGGGGGCAATTCAGTCTTAGTTGTAACAATGCACCATGCAGGAAGTTATAACAAGCTTGAGGCACAAGACCGAGCTGACTTTCACTCAGCCTGGGCTGACTTTGCATGCCGTACTATCAGTTATCCCCAATTGTGGCCACTTGTTTTGAGCTGATTTTGCTCACCCTTTGCAGAGCTGATCCTGTACTCCAGAAGGCCAATTGATGTTATCCCCAATTTTGACGATAGAATTTGAGCTGATTTTGCTCACCGGAGAGAAGTTAGTGTTCTACCCAACTTCTGATTTAGGACTGAGCTGATGTTGCTCATCTTCCCCAAGCTAGGTTCGCTCTTTTGGAAGTAGGTTGGTGTTTTGTCCAACTTGTGATTTGAATCCGAGCTAACTTTGCCCATTTCCAAAGCTGATTTTGCTCACATGGCAGTAGGTGTTATGTGTCGCTTAATTTGCATAACCAAGTCAATTTTGCAATCGCACCGAGCTAAATTTGTTCACCGGGGAGACAGTTGGCGTAATTACCAGCAGCTCTTTTTTCACCTCCAAAACCGAGTTGATTTTTGGTAAGGAATTTTACATCTAAGCACATTCGAAAAATTTACCGAGCTGAAATTAGCTTGGCATGACGAAGAGCATTACACATTGGCACACTGCGAGCAAATTTCATCTTGGTGATATGTGAATTTAGCACCACACAGTCAAACTGAGCAATATTATCTCAACAACAATGAAATCTATGGTTATAATCATTCAAACATATCAGACAAATTGAAGAAACAAATGCATATGGCGAGCAAAAAGTTAACTGATTTCCATTCATAATGAAGTTTGATTACAAAAGACAAGGCTGCCAGCCTGGTTACAATAAAAAATAATAATAATTGAAAATTAAAATAAAAAAACTTAGTCCACATTCACTGTGTTGGCTAGGTCGACACCTTCTTCCTCGACCTCTTCCTCTGCTCTGAACATGGCATTATCCTCCAGCTCGGGTTCCCCCTTGGTCAGGTTGGGACTTTCCTTGAACCCCACTGGCGTCGGATTCTGATCGGCTGGCTGAGCGACAGGTGCGTCGGCCGCCGCTGCAAGTTTCGCCGCCTCAATGAGCTTCTACTGCGCGGCATTGGCATAAGCCTGCATGTGGGCCGGAATGAAAACAGCCGGAGGATTCTTGAACACGTAGAATCTTACACTAGGCCAAGTTTCTCCACAACAACTTTCCAGCTGCACTGGAAAAAAATGTCCTTCGTCGCTTC